AATAGAGGATGTTGAAGGAGTAGAGGTTTTAGAGGAAAGTGAGCATTTGCGAGGATCATTGAAATTTAAGATTGCTTCTTCGGGAATTACGGTTAGAGAAGACGTTTTCAGTTATCCCAATGTGCCTTGGGATTGGTATCGAGATAACAATGAGCAATCTCATGTTGCTAAGGAAGACTCGAAGTTTGTGACAGTGGTGTTTGAAGGAGAAGAACCAAGACAAATGAAGATGGGAAGCCAACTAGAAGATGAAGAGATCAAGGCCTACTGTGAGTTGATAAGAGAGTATCGGGAGGTCTTTGCATGATCTTATAAGGAGTTAAAGGGGATTCCTCCTGAGATTGTAGAACATCGAATTCCCTTGATGACTGGTGTAGTGCCGATCAAGCAAAAGGAGAGGAGAATGAATCCTCAGCTTCAATTGATTGTGAAAGAGGAACTGGAGAAATTACTCCAAGCAAGTTTTATTAAACCTGTTGAGATCACAGATTGGGTCTCTCCCATGGTGCTTGTAAAGAAGAAGAATGGTAAACTTAGGGTGTGTGTGGATTATAAGAAGTTGAATTTTTGCACCCAAAAAGACCACTTTCCCTTGCCATTTATCACTAGCATCTTGGAAGAAGTGGCAGGTCACGATTTATATACATTTATGGATGGATATTCTGGATACAACCAAGTGTCTATTGCACCTGAAGATCGACACAAGACTGCATTTACAACACCTTGGGGGACGTTTGTGTGGCATGTGATGCCATTTGGATTATGTAACGCCCCTGCTACTTTCTAACGTCTGGTGATGTCTATCTTCTCAGACTTGTTATACAAATCAATGACCGTGTTCATTGATGATTTCAGCACCCAATCTGATGCAGATTCTCACATTCATTTGGTGAAAGAAAGCTTAGAGAGGTACAAGAAAGCTCGAATGGCCCTGAATCCAGAAAAAACCTATCTTGCCTTGACTAGAGGTATTTTGTTGGGATATATGGTTAGTAAGAGGGGTCGTGAGCCCGAGCCAGAAAAGGTGAAGGTAATTCAGAATTTATCACGTCCTGCCAGTGTGAAGGAAGTGCAACGTGTATTGAGACACACCGGTTGGTATAGGGAGTTGATTGAAGATTACGCCACTATTACCCTTCCCATCACTAGACTTCAGAAGAAAGGCACCAAATTTATATGGACTCAGGCTTGTAATGATGCTTTCGAGGTTCTAAAGAAGGAATTGTCTTCTTATCCAATATTGAGGCCCCCGAGGTGGGACTTGCCTTTCCACATCTATTGTGATGCAAGTGCGGTGGCGGTTGGCAACATTCTGTGCCAACTTGTAGAAGGCCCAAACAAGGGCAAGGATCATCCAATTGCCTACGCTAGTAGGCAATTAAATCTTGCAGAGAAAAATTATTCTACCACTGAGAGGGAATGTCTAGCCATGGTGTTCTCAGCTAAGAAGTTTAGATATTATCTGTTGAGCAAAAAAGTGGTTTTTTATGTGGATCACATGGCCATCAAGTATTTGGTTAACAAACCTGAGTTGAGCAGTCGGTTAGCTAGGTGGGTCTTGTTGCTACAAGAGTTTGATTACACTGTGGAGTACAAACCTGGATCCGTACACAAACAAGCAGATCACATGTCGAGATTGCCTGGAGGAATGGAGACCCACCCAATTGATGATAGATTGATAGACGAGAGTCTTTTCTTGGTGATAGCTAGACCAGCATGGTATTTTAGGATTATTGAGTTCTTGACTACTCAACAATGGCCAGTGGATTTATCCAAGGACGAGAGGCAGAAGATTTGAGTCAATAGTCGTCATTTTGTGGTGTTAGGGAACTGATTGTATCGACGTGGATTGGATGGAGTGTTAAGACGTTGTGTGATGGAAGATGAGGTTCCTTCCATTTTGTCGGCTTGTCATGACAGTGCGTGTGGCGGACATTTTTCTGGCCAATTGACTGGTCAGAAAATTCTTAGGGCTGGTTATTACTGGCCAACACTCTTCAAGGACGCTCATACCTATGTGAGGCGTTGCGATGCATGTCAGAGATTTGCTAGGAATGACCTTCACATGCAGTTGCCGCTTCACATTTCCCTACCATTGGTGCCATTCGAGAAGTGGGGCATCGATTATGTGGGAGAGATTCATCCTCATTCATCTCGAGGAATGGCATATATTGTAGTGGCCACTGAATACCTCACTAAGTAGGCTGAAGCCAAGGCTGTGAGGACAAATGATGCCAAGAATGCTGCAATCTTTCTCTTTGAGAATGTGATTACTAGATTTGGAGTCCCGAAGATCCTTGTGAGTGATCGAGGTACTCATTTCTTCAACGAGGTGATTGAATCCATGACTGAGCAATTCCAGATTGATCACCGGAAGACTACACCCTATCACCCTCAAACCAATGGTCAGACAGAGCGAGTCAACCAAATACTTGGTACTATATTGAGGAAAAATGTTAGAGACTCCAAGCGTGATTGGGATGTGAAACTGCCAGCCGCCTTATGGGCATATAGAACAACATTCAAGGTCACCACGCAGGCTACGCCATTCTCTCTAGTCTATGGACTGGAAGCAGTTTTACCAATTGAGTTTGAGGTTCCATTCCTTCGGATTGCAGTAGATTCCAGATTGACTGACAGACAATCTTTAAAGACAAGGTTGTAAGAGCTCGAGGCGTTGGATGAGAGCAGAAGACGAGGGGCTCAACACATTGAGGCCATCCAGAGGCGGCGCAAGGTCGTGTTTGATAAATGGAACAAGACTCGGGTCTTGCAACCTAGTATGCTAGTATTGTTACAAGATGCTCGAAAGATCGACTTTCCAAGCAAGTTTGATGCCGTATGGTTGGATCCTTATCTTGTCAAGGAGGTATTTTTAAACAACTCCGTGCAATTGGAGACCTTGAATGGTCAATTGTTTCTCACACGAACATCAAGTAGCAGGTGTAAAGAATATAAGACATGAGGGAGCACAATTTTGGGCAAGAGCTCCACCTTTCTATCTAATGACAAGGCAATAGTATGAACTGGCATGGTGAAAATACTTTAAAGGACAAAAATTAGCAAGAGAAGCTGGATTCGTCCCCTGATGGTCGCCAATTATGTGAGCCCAAAAGTTGGTTCACATTGTTGGTTAAAATAAAACAATCTAAAAAAAACTGAAGATTTTGATTATGTTTTGTTATAATAAGTTAGTTATAGACATTAATGTTAGTGGCTTATTGATGATTAGTAGTGGAAAGAAAAATCAAGGGAGAAGGGAGTGGTGGAAAAGATAAGAAAAAGAGCCAAAAGAAAAAAAAAGAAAAAACAAAAAAAAACAAAACAAAAAAGCCAAGAAGAAAGAAGGAAGAAGATGAAGAGGGATAAGGAGAAGAAGAAGAAAAAGGAGAAGAAAATAATTAGAAGTAAATTTATTGTGATGGGTTTGTCAAATTATTGGTTCTTAATGATCTAGAACTTAGATTTGGGTGTATGAATAGTCAAACTTGATGTTTAAATATGTTTTAAACACATTGGTGGAGTTAGTTTTGTCAAAAAATGCTTTGAATTGGGAATTTTGGGCATGTCTAGCACTAAAATCGGATTTAGGACTTAGGGTTAATGTGGGCCCTTGATCTTGATTAGGGTTGGTGGATTCAGATGGTGGAGATGTGGCCGCCACCCTTTGGTCTCTTCCTACTTGGATAAGAGGGTGGGGGTGGCCACACTCGCTCTCTCTCTCTTTTTTTTTTTTTTTTTTGGGGCGAAGCCATGCCAAATTGCATCCCCACGTACCCTTGTTTCTATAGAGCTGCAATTGCACAGCTGTAGTGTATTAGTTATCTAGAAATAGAACGTCAAACTTTACCAATAGTTAGATCTTGTCGTTAGCTTCCTCGGGACAGTAGGCACGCTTTGTTTGGAGAGAAAACAAGAAAGTTGTGGTGGTTTTAGTGACAAGGAGGTCAGCTGCCGGCCAGATCTGGAGGTCCGACTTTGGAAGGCGAGTGTTGGCGGACAGTATTGAATTTGGAGCTGAAACTTTTGTGGGGGATGGTTCTTGTTGTCAGCTTTGCAAGGACTATTTGCACGCTTAGATTGAGTAAAGGCCAAGGAAGTTATGGTGGTTGGAGTGAAGAGGAGTCGGCCATGGTGAAGATGTAGCACTCCGCCAACTCAAGCTACTTTGGAAGGTCATATCTTGGAATTCACTCAAGATTTTCAAGAAAAAATTGTTGGAGGTGATGCGGCTTCAATTCTAGTTTCTGGAATGCTAAAGCATATGCATTGCACAACTGGAATGGAGCAAGGGCAAGGGTTTTTGTGGCCAGCGGTGCTCTGACTAGGCCGAGAAAGTCAGGCAACTTTGAGGCAAGATTTCTTTTAGCTTAATTGTTGTTTTGCATTGAATTTTGTTGGAAGACAAGCGCTTGTAAGTCTACTTTCTAAAATAGCAAAGCTTGTTATAAACAAGTTAGTGATGCAACCATTGTAGTGGAATTCGTGCAAGGGGGTCGCTACCATGACTTGGAAGGTGGCGACTTCCAATTTTCTTTAATTTTTAGGATGAATCTTGGATGAATTAGGTCAATTGCACGAATTGTCAGTTGGATGATAAGTTGACTTGTGGTTGGATGAATGAATCTTTAGATGAAAATTGGATGAACAAACTTTGAATGAATGAATATTATAGGATGAATGAGATTTAAGGGATAGATGATTGATGAATGGAAATTTAGGATGAATGAACTTAGGGTTTATGGATGAACTTAGGGTTTATGGATGAACTTAGGATTTATGGATGAACTTAGGGTTTATAAAAATTACGTGTGAGTGAAGTTAATCCACTTGACTTCTAAACGCAATTAAGGGTGGAGGAATTTAGCTCACAAGCACGCATTGGGCGTCGCATTGTCTTACCTACAACATTCATTGGTTCCCCCCGATACATGCAAAAAATCTTTCATGATAGTATGGTTTTGGGTAGAGTTTTAGAAAAACCTGATTTGTTTGTGACAATGACATGTAATCCGACCTGGCCTGAGATTCTTGATGAGCTTGAGCCAGGTCAAAGTCCTCCTGATCGTCCAGATATTGTTGTGTGTGTTTTCGAGCTCAAGTTAAGAGCATTAATGGATGATATTACGAAGAAGAATGTCATGGGAGAGACAATTGCTTTTTGTTACACTATTGAGTTTCAAAAACGTGGTCTTCCTCATGCACACATTCTTCTTTGGTTGAAAGACAAGGTCAATAACTGTGACCTTGTAGATAGGATAGTATGTGCGGAGATTCCCGATTTAGATAGACAACCGCAATTGTATGCTGCAGTTGCCAAGCACATGATGCATGGACCATGTGGTTTGGACAATCCCAATTGTCCATGCATGGAAGACGATAGATGTACAAAAAACTATCCGATGCAAATTCGAGATACTACCGAGGTGGATGGTGATGGACATGTTTTGTACCGTCGTCGAAATCAAGGTCGATATATCGAGAAACGTGTACGTGGACAAATTGTCCGTTTAGACAATCGATGGGTTGTGCCATACAATCCATATTTGATAGGTCGGTTTAATTGTCACATTAATGTGAAAATTTGCAGTTCTGTAAAAACTGTCAAATACCTCCACAAGTATATTTTTAAAGGTCCAGATCGTGGTGTTGTAGAAACAGATGAAGTGGTAGATGAGATTAAGGATTTCTTGGAGGGTCGTTATGTGGCCGCCCAAGAAGCATGTTGGAGGCTCTTTGGTTTTGAAACTAATAATAAGAGCCATAGTATTTGTCGTTTGCCTGTTCACCTTCCCGGTCAGCAATATGTTACTTTTAAAGAAGGAACATCTTTGCACTCGATGATTGATCAAAATGTTGAGACTAAACTCACCAAGTTTTTTGAGTTTAATTGCCATATTGGTGCCTTAATTGCTTCTAGCAATCAAGGCAACCATATGCTTCTTCGTTACATGGATCTTCCACTCTATTACAAGTGGGATGTGAAGAATAACATGTGGGAAAGAAGAGTACGTAAGATAAAAGTTTTTGGTCGGATAAACATGGTTCCCATAGATACCTAAGTATTTTACTTGCATTTGTTGTTGACTCATGTCGAGGCACCAACTTCATTTGAGGACCTATTTTGTTTTCATGATATAGTGCATCCAACGTACAAGGCCGCTTGTATTGCAAGAGGACTTTTACAAGATGATTCTGAATGGAAAAATTGTCTGCAAGAGGCAACTGTCATTCTGTTGCCTAAACAAGTTTGGGGGTTGTTTGCAACACTTCTTGTGTTTGGACAACCGCTAGATCCTCTTAGCTTACTAAAGACACATCTTGATGCTATGTCTGATGATTGGCGCAATGATCAAAATCGCTATTGCAAAGCAATTTTGTCCATTGAAGAATATTTGTCATCATCAGACAAACATCTTACAGATTTTTTTAATATCGAAGAATTGAATGAGTGTGGTTATTCAAACATTGTTGATGTTGGCGGTGATTCCAATGACAATATTGATTTTGATAACCAAAACATTACTTTTCTAGAGGAGGATGTAGGTAGGCTCAACGAAGAACAATACATTGTTTTTAATGCGGTGACCACTGCCGTTTTAAATTCTGATTCTCCAGATCGGCTTTTCTTTTTAGATGGTCCTAGTGGTACAGGTAAGACCTTTTTGTATAACACCATATTGGATTATCTTCGTGGTCGTAATGTCAAGTGTATGGCAATGGCAACAAGTGGAATTGTCGCATGCCTTTTGAATGAAGGGCGAACGGCACATTCAGCTCTTGCTATTCCTTTACAGTTGCACGATGCATCAATTTGTAACATTAGTACCCAGTCTACATTAGGTCAAAGCTTACGTGAAGTACAATTGATTGTACTTGATGAAGCTTGTGCTGGGCATCGTTTTATGTTTGAAGCTATAGACAGATCATTGCGAAATATACGCAATATAGATAGTCCAAATGGTAGTGTTGTAGTATTATATGGCGGTGATTTTTGCCAAACTTTGCCTGTAGTTGTACGTGGAGGTCGCAAGCAAACTGTTCAAGCTTGCTTGCGACATTCATACCTATTTCCACTAATGCAACATTTTCATTTGACCACTAACATGCGTTTGCAAAGTCAAGCGGACTTTCAACGATTTTTGTTAGATATTGGTGAGGGCAAAACCGGTCCAAAGGTAGATTTACCGCTAAGATTAGTTGCTCCTGGAAATTCTTTAGATGGTCTCATTGATGCTATTTTTGATGATCCGGTTGATTTTTCTGAGCGCGTCATTTTGGCTGTCCGAAATGATGATGCCCAAGAAATCAACCGAAAAATCACCGATCGTATACCTGGTGATGTGCATCAATGTTTTAGTGTTGATTTTATTCACGAGAATGATGAATATGCCCATCATTACCCAATAGAGTTTTTGAATTCTTTATAATTGAGCGGTTTGCCTCCTCACCAATTAAGTCTTAAATGTGGCCAATATTTGATGTTGCTAAGGAACTTGAATCCGGCAAAAGGTTTGTACAATGGTAGTCGTTTGCATCTTTTGCAAGTGTCTTCCAGTGTGTTGTTATGTGAAATTGTAGAAGGACGCTATCGTAGCCAAGAGGTATTGATTCCTAGAATCACACATCATTGCAACGATAGCCGCTTGCCATTCACACTTTGTCGGAGACAATTTCCTGTCACTGGTGCTTTTGCCATGACAATCAACAAATCGCAGGGCCAATCATATGATCGAGTTGGCATTTATCTTCGCAATGAAGTATTTAGCCATCGTCAATTATATGTGGCATTGTCTCGTGGTAGACATCCTGCAAACATTAAGGTTGCCAATGACAACAATGAAGCCGTGGGAATGGTTAAAAACATTGTTTATCATGAGGTTTTTACATGACATTGTCATATAAATTCCTATAAATATTTACACCTGAATCAGGTGGATGGAAAAGTTAAGAGTTTGTTTCAAACTCTGCATGTTTAGGGTTCATGCACGCTTTGGCGACGTCCCCTTCCATCCAATTGCATTCTTTTGGTGTTCAATTATGTTTTCTCAATTGAGACAACTTACCATTCAATTGAAGAAGGTTACATCTTGAATTTCACTACTCAATGAATGGATATTTTCCAATGCATGCATCTTTAGATGCATTTTATTTCTAAAATTTATTACTTTATTCTATTATATTACATTCTTAAAATTCATGCTTAGGTCATGAAGACATATTTATATATCTAGATTGTTGTTACCTTCCTTTTAAACTATTTTGTAATATAAGAACTACATTAAAATGGTTGGACTAATGCGTTGCAAAGCAAGCGCCAACCGCTAGTTATACAATAAAAAAAATTTAATGCTATCAAAACTTGTTAGCTTGATGGAAGAAAATTAGATGTCATTCTTTGAGATGGTACTATCACCATAAATGTAGTGTATATCTATCAATTCCTAAATAAAGTTTGCATTGAATATTAAGCAATCATAAATAAATTATACAGACAGCAACTGAGCCAAGAGTCTAAGATTTATATACTTCCATTTACAATTACCCATTATATTGTCTTGATTGTATAAAGATCAATTTATGTATCACACCCATTGTATTGTCTTGATTGTACAAGGATCAATTTATGTATCACAATGAAGATACTATGAGTTATACTGTATGATGTTGATAAGTATATATAAGAAGGAGTCTTGTAACTACAATACCAATCTTTTTTAGTTGCACTAATGATTGAAGAATTGTAGAATGATAAAACAACATAATCATGTTTTGGATTTTATCACATGTCACTTTATTCAATCACTTCTCCATCAACAAACTGTGACGGTGAAAAGTTTATATCCAAGCTAATCAATAATTGGACACTATCTCATGTCATTTCATAATCTATTAATTTTCATCATACAACATTGTCCTAAAAAGTAGTATAATATATAAAAATAATATGAAATATTATGAAAATTTGGATTGCAATTAAAAAAATAAAAAAATAAAAAAATTGATTAATTTATTTAAATTTATATTTTAAGTTTTGTAATTAAAGATAGAAGTTGTAGGATTTATTGGTAAGGAGTGTAGCAGAGCTTTGATATCAAAGGTATAATATTTTGACTCCTAAGCCATTCTATGTGGATAGATAAGGTAAATTATAGACAACTTCATTCCTATTGGTTGAAGATTATGTCCAATGGATTTTGAGATGTTATCTAGGACCATATTAGGGTTTGAGGCGACTTAAAGGGGCCCATTCAAAAGAAGACAAACCATTCAAAGTTCAAAAATTGAAGTTTGTTAGCTTGTGTTAAAGACTATATTTTTCTTATACAAATCAAAGGATTTGAAATATTTATAAGGGAGAAATAGGTACTTGAAATTAGGATCTTGAATTTATACCTATTGCTTTTTTTTTCAAATACAAGAAGTTATATGAAAACTATTAGAGGTCAAAAAGTGAGATTCAAAAGCTGACTTAAGGAGATAAATTTTATGTAAAAAAATTGATATATTTCCAATTTGGAATAAAAGAGAAAGAGCTTTTAGAAGTCAATGCTTCAAAATTAGAGTTTTTAAGTGATTTCTTTTTATAGAGATTTTAGTTTGGACCATATCTTGAGTTTTTGAATGAATTTTTGGTTCAAAATTTTTATAAGTATAGATGACTTTGTGAAAAAGTTATATATAAAATTTCATGATATTTGAATATTGGATTTTTGAGATATGATAGATTTAGCACATGGGTGCTTGAAAATTGACATGTTTAGTACCTACTAGAAATTAGGTAATATCTAAGGATCTTAAATAAATCTATAGTTGATTTTTTGCATGAAAGTAGTTATAAATATAAATTAATCTGTAGAGAAGTTTGAATCTAATTGAACAATTTTATTAGAAGTTACTGAGTAATACATATTTGGAAGGAATTCTCATAAGAATAGAAATGATTTAAGGATATCTAATTGCATCTTGAGAACTCTTGTGCATTTTAGACTTGAGTATTTGATGTAATTACCTTCATAAGGACAAGCTCTAAATAAGATTTGTATTTAATGAACTTGCAACTTATTTGAGTGATTAATTGCAACCAAAGGCTCAATGATTTTTTAATGCAACTCTCTCTACTATGACAACAATAAAATAAAAAAAATTATACAAATGTTTAAAAAATTATAAAAAGACAAATTTGTAATGGTCATAGTTTAGTATTTGATTATTTTTATCCTAATACTTTTCATAATAAAGGTAGAAAATAAAAAATTGACAAAATAAGAAAAAAAAAAATATCAATTTTATTATTTTTTCAAGACTATATTAACAAAAAGAACCTAATGAAAGCAAATAAATGAGTGAAACTTTTTTCAAAGAAATATGACAAATTAGAAGTATGAAAATATGTATATTAAAGAAAATTAGAATAGCTATTGCCAAAAGATAAGAAAACTAAAGACTCTTGAATCTAGACTAAAACAAGGAAGAAATTGAAAAGAGTGAAGAAGACTTCACTCTTGCCTCTATATATGCTATCTACTTAGGAATTACATGGCAATATTCTAATATGACTTCTAACATGTATTGACTTTGCAAGCCACATGTCTTAACTTACAAGATAAGTTTTCTATGTGTGCGCCACATAGTTAACTAATTCTACAAACTACCTACATATGTCACATATGGCTAATTTTTTGACCAAGTTTCTAACCTAAAAATCAATTATAAATATGTCTAAAATCAAAATTGTATCTATAAAGCTTCTAAAAAGCTTTTCTAAAAGATATTATGAAATTAATTTATTTTTATGTACTTTTATATATTTCTATCTAATCATATAGGTAATTATTAGAATAAGTATGTATCTCTGTGACAATATGTCTATAACATTATTCCCCCTCATCTTTTCTAAGAATGAATTCTATAAGGCACAGTCATCATATATTGAAGAAATCTAAGATACAACAAATTATATTTGCCACATATTCTGATCTTTGTTCTCCTTGAAGATGGTTGATAGGTCCTCTCAACCATCAATAATGTTCCATATCAAGGCGGAAAGACCACCTTATTATTTCATTGTTGTTGGGGCCTTTATAACTTCCTTCAAATAAAAAATTTGGAATACCATCAAGAGTTATTTCTATCTCTAATAAAATCACCAAACAGCAAGAGTCTCTTTTAAAGTTGAGATATCAAATACATAACTTGCCATCTATTTAAAGAAGAATATGTTATTTTTCAAGATCTTTATCTTGATTATGTCATCTTGAGGGTTGAGACAATCGCAATGTCTCATTCGAGAAGTCAGAAAACTCTTAAGTTGAATCTATTGATTATTGATTTTCTATCTCTTTTGTATTATAATATATACAAAAATTAAAAAAAAGATAGAAAGTAGAATATTATCTTTTCTTGATTTTATTTCTTTTATAGTAAAGATTTTTTATTCTTTATCTATATTTTGATGGATGTCATTGATGAACAACCTTTACCTTTCTTATTGTATTTTTAAGATTCTTTGGTGGCTCCCATATATGTTCATTATTATCATACTCCCACTAATGAATAAGATATTCTAACCTATTTCAGTACCGCTTTGAATTTAAGACTTCTTTTATCTCAAATTCTTCATTATTGTCTACTTCTATAAGAAGATGTGGCACTTTTTTTTTTCTTGGTATGTTCATTATCTTATATGATTCAAGAAGAGATACATGGAATATGAGATGAATATTTATTGATTCTAGTAGGTATAATCAATAAGTAATTAGATTTTTCTCTTCACAAATAGGAAAAGCTCCAAACTTATGATAGTCCAACTTATCACAAGAGTGATTAGTCTTAATATTACGATGAAGTAATCATATCTTGTCACTCATGTTGAATTATGGTTATTCTTTGTAATAGACACATGTGCTTATCTTTTGTTATTCTTGAACATATTTTAATTGCACTTTCATCATTGCATGTAGCTCTAATAAATAATTTGCTAAATCTTCTAATACAAGATTATCAATTTTTTAAAAGTCAAAAGTACCAAGTCATGGATAATAACCATAATTAACAAAAAAAACATATTTGATGAATAAAAAAATATATTGTGTTATTATAGGCAAAATTTGACAATGGCAAAAGAGTCATTCAATCATCTTATTGGTAGTTGATGATACACATCACTGCTCTAAAATTTGATTAATATACTTCATCAATCCATTAATTTGAAGATAAAAGGCTAAAGATAACTTTATATTTATTTTTAGAATATTAAAAAGAATTCTTTAAAATTTTGATACAAATTGAGTCTTTTTATTTAATATACTATCTTTGAACAATCCATAATAGTAATAGATGTTTAAAAAAAAACTCATTTATTTTTTACTTGTGATAGTTTTTATACATAATATAAAATATGTCATCTTCATAAAAGAATCTACTATCA